ATTTTTTTATTTTTAAAATGAAACTTCCCTAGAATCGTTGTGGTTTGGTGAAGAAATCTATTATCCTCTATTTTTATATTAGAGTTGTTTTTTTTTTCAAAAATGGGACCAAATTTGAGGTGTACTTACTCTTTCCAATAAAAAAAAAGAATCATCGAAATCAGACTACACTGTAAAAGGTTATGCGTGGTCAAATAAATAAAATGTGTACTTATGTACGCACGTAAGAACTTATACTTCTAATACTTTCTTAGATTTACGCAAATATTTGACATCTTATATATATATAAAAGAAAGTCGTGTTAGTTACACTATTTATAACTCAACAACGGCTGAACCGATTTGGCTGAAAATTGGTGGGGAAGTAGCTTAGACCCAGGAGACGGACATGGGATACTTTTTATCCCGTTCGATTGCGTTCCCGTGTGACGTGACATAAAACTCAAGAACGGCTGGACCAATTTTTATGATATTTGAATTTTTGGATTTCGCTTAGTCCGGAATAGGATAATAAGTATTAAAACATCAGAAAATTTAACGAAAATTATATGGCTAGCGCTGGCTAATAACTATTTATCTCTACTTAAAACGTACCTAGCGACGAACCCGAGCGAAGCGAGGGTGAGCCACTAGTTTTAAAATATAAAACTATCTTTTCGGATTTTTTCGCGAATTTATTTTGATTTTTGGTTCCCGACGTTTCGAATGCCACACAGCAATCATGGTCACGGGAGAGACTGAGGTTATAGACGTCTCAAAAGCATTATATAGTTGTTACAGACAGTATACCCATAAATTAGCAAAAATGAATTTAAAATATTCAAAAATGGCATCAAGGTGCCTCACAATATTTATTAATTTTAATTTTATACATTTTTATAATTCTAATAAGTATTATAATTGAATAGTCCATATTATTTATTTAATTTTGGCTGTTATTATTATAATTAGTCCATTTTTTTTTAGATAATTCAATTTACCACTAAAACTTTGTGCTATACGACATGCAACACCCATTAAACACCGTGCCGGCGCGTCATTTTTCCCCGACACAACCATGACATACAAAACACTCGTATTGCAAATTTTATATGTATAAGCTGTTTTAGGTGTTTAAACAATATGAGCATTAATGACAATGTCGGGAACCAAAAATCAGAATAAATTTGCGAAAATGTCCGAAAAGATAGTCTTATATAAGATAACCATGTATAGTTACATTACTTAAATGATAGACACAAAATAAAACTAAAAAAAAAAATAGTTTTAAAAATATATTTAAAGAAATATGTTAGCGCTACAGGCTACTTTATAAACTATAATCAGTAATGATTGTAGATAGTTTTAAATAAAACTGTCTTTTCGGATTTTTTCGCGAATTTATTTTGATTTTTGGTTCCCGACGTTTCGAATGCTTTACAGCAATCATGGTCACGAGAGAGAAAATAAATTCGCGAAAAAATCCGAAAAGATAGTTTTATTTAAAATGTAAAGTATTCGCGTAAATCTAAGAAAGTATGATAGACACAAGTTTAATACAATTATTATACACTCATATTTCGCCAACTATGTTTTGGAAGTCCCAAGTAGGTAATATGAAGCGGGCGTTTTGCAGATTATTTGGCACTTTTCTAAATTACATATTATGACTGGGTATTTCCCAGCAGAACAACTCAATAACATTTTATACTACTATTAGACCGACGAAGCAGTTAAGGAACGCTTATTTTATTTCAGACGAGCGACTCACTCTCGCTTCGCTCAGGTTCGTCGTAGGTACGTTTTAACGGTTAGTATGGAATAGATATAACTTATTTTCTCGTGGAAATGAGATAGTATCCCGCGGTAAAAGTAGCCTATGTCACTTTCCAGCCCTCCATCTATCTTCACACAAAAAATCATGAACATCTCCGTCACTTTGTGTCGACGTAAAGGAGGGCAAGCAAACAAACAAACAAACAAACAAACAAACAAACAAACAAAGTCAACGTCAAACTGTATATCGTAGACAAACAAAGTGTGCAATTTACAAAAGCATTCAAGTAGTTATATTAATTTTAAGGTTGCTTTCATAATTATATAGTAGTAAGGAAAAAGAAAAATGTAATTTTTACGTATTTCCGTGATTTTTTTTTCTAAGTTTTTTCATCATGAGATCCTTCCTCGGTCTTCAACGAATATTTGAAAAAAAAGGCTAATTTGAGCATAAAATAAACTAATTTCGTCGTGTAATAAGTGATAAAAGTATAGCGGGCGAGGTGGTGCCTATAGGCACCAGCGGGGTTTGACGGTAACGCCGGAAATAGGCACCAGTGGGGTTCAAGTGGTTAATTAGTAATCTTATTTAATATTGCCATTATGAGTTATATTTATAAACATAAAGAAAATAAAATATTAATTATTCAAAGCAACATTATTGTGTTGTGATCCATTAATTTTAATGCTAAAATTGTTAGACATATTCAACGTAACCTATATTTATTGTAATTAATTGAAGTTTAAATGAAATTATATTTCATATATTAAGTATGTAAATATATTATTTCAAAAATCAATATTAAATTTTGAAATGACTAAGGCATAGTCAAAATTGAATTCAAATTATTGTTATGATATAAAATTATAAAATGTAGTCAAAATAATTTAACAAAACTACGTAAACTACGTGTAAGAACTTTCCACGTCTATCTTTTATGTTTAGATTTATTATTTGATTTTATTATATTAATAACGGGATCCCACGACGGTGGTAGTACCCAGCCATCTTCCCTATTGAAATTTATATGTTTTTGTTAATTTCATGGCTTCTCGATTCATCCTACGGCGATATCGGTTTTCTTTCGCGAGGATTTGGGGCCTATCAAAGCAAATGTAATGGCTTGGGCTGTCCTGACTATGTTTACATATAGCAGATATCTTCTTGACCGATTTCGGCCACGGCGGCCAATTTCCCTGAGACTAGCCAATTGCAGGAGATATTATAGTGCAGACACAACGTGCACTCTCTATTCCTGTCACTCTCATACTCCGGTGGGACGACACGAGACCCGACCGGTGAGAGTTAAGGCGCCAGACCGACGGCTTTATGTGCTCTCTTAGGTAAGGGGGTAAACATAAAACAACACACTAGTAATAAAGATAAGTATGACGACACGTTTGGCTCAGTTGGTAGTGACCCTACTTGTTGTGCCAGCGGTCGCGGGTTCGAGTCATCAGTACTCCTGTCATGGATGTTTATATTTATAATATGTATGTATTTAAAGTTATATATATATATATATATATATATATATATATATATATATGTAGTGTATCAACTATCTGGTATCCATAACACAAGCCTCGTAGCTTACCATGGTACTAGATGGCGCTGTGTGTTAATGTCCCATAAAAAAAAGTATGGAAATTGTAAGTAAATCCACAATAAATAAGTTATTGTGGCACGATACTCATTAAAATCTAGTAATAAGAGCAAAATGTAAATAAAGATATAGTAACTAAATTGTAAATAGAGTTCTAAACCTTAACTGTTAAATATACCTATAGTACTAACCAAGAATAAACCAAGTACAAAAAATAGTGATAAAGCATATGTATAAGCAGTGTTAGCCCAGTGGTAAGGCGCTCGCTTGGGAAACCTAGTGAAGCAGGTTCAAATCCCGGCACTCCCACCTCTGATATTTTCATGTGCGAATCATTTCTAACATGATTACCACTTGCCTTACGGTGAAGGAAAACATCGTGAGAAAACCTGCATGTCTGAGAAAACCTAGCAAGTTCTCAAAAGACATGTGAAGTCCGTCAACCCGCACTTGGCCAGCGTGGTGGGCTATGGCCTGATCCCCATCGTACTGAAGGAAGGCCCACTCCCAGCAGTGGGACGTAAAAAAGGGCTGAATACAAAGCATATGTTATAAGTATGACAGTAGAAATACAAACAATGTAATAGTAATAAGCCTGTACTAAGATTAAGCTATAAATAGATAAAATGTATATTTACCTAGAACTTAGTATAATTCACTGACCCTCCTACAAAATTATTGAAAATTATAAATATAAGAAAATGTTAAAAATAAATAATAAATAAATATGTTGGGACATTAAGACACATCACCATCTAATTCAATGGTAAGCTACGATGCCTGCCGATATATAAATTTAAATACATACATATTATAAATATATCATCACACACATGAATGCGCACAGCGGGACTCGAATTCGTGACCGCTGGCACAGCAAGTAGCGTTACTACAAACTGAGTCAATCGTGTCGACTCCGACTCCTTTATCGGAGGTGTGCCAGTATAAAAAAAATCTCTTCATGTATTGGTGAAAACCGTATAAAAATCCGTCCGGTAGTTTTTGAGTTCATCGCGTTCAGACAGACAGACAGACAGACAGACGTGGTGGGGGACTTTATTTAATAATATGAAGTGATAAGTATATAAGATTACGCTAATTGTAGGATTGTGGAGGATAATCATCATATTTTAATGGAATGTATTCGGAATGAGGCAGGCTGAATATATTTCTTTGAAATATTAAGCTAAATAAAATTGATGTTGGCTTTTGCAACAGCTTTCTTGCTTCACCCCTATCGAGAATTAGTATTAAAAAAATATATATGTTTATATATGATTTTTTGTAGTTCCTATAAGGGTGGTATAGTCCCTATGATCATATCCTTTAAAAAAAGTATATAACGCCTTTGAGACGTCTAAAACCTTAGTCTCTCCCGTGACCATGATTGCGTACAGCATTTGAAACGTCGGGAAGCAAAAATCAAAGTAAATCCGCGATTTTGAAAATATATTTTTATTTAAAACTCTATAATAAGTAAACTTGGTCCGACCTGAGACTCGTAGACCATAGAGGTTTAAAAAAAAGAATGTATAATACGATAAATGATCATAATGCTATTACTTTGAAGTATAAAAGAAAAAATAAATAAATATCTTTTCAGTCCTTATTGAGACGTTGTTTGAAACGCAAGTGAGAATGTTAAAAATTAGTATTGCCAGATTCATTGGGAACAAAGCAATATGTAATGTAAGGTGTTTATCACAAGATAGATCTATTAATTTTGGGTGAGTTTTATCATTTTTTGTCTATCCTTTTCCCTTTTTTTAACGACTTCCAAGGAAGAGGTTCTATATTCGTCTGTATGTATCTTTTCTTTATGTATGTAGGTTCACTGATTTCTGGGTGATTTGTTACCAATTTGATGTCTAACGTAATAGATTTTTAACGAAATGTAAATTTTGTTTTTCTACACTAATGTTATACAGAGGAAAGATTTGTATTTTTGTAAGTTTGTAACGAATAAACTCAAAAACGAATGGACCGATTTAGATGAAATTTTGTAAGGAGATAGTTTGAGACCCTGGGAAGAACATAAGATATTTTTTATCCCGGCAATCATCCATTAAGGGTGTGAAAGTTTTGTTTGGGGAATCAACGCTAAAAGAAAAGAAAAATCTCTAGTTTTTTAATATTTTAATTTAATTTTAAGTGTAGTGTAATATTGTTGTTTTTCATATTTTAAACTTTTTAGTTTATTTAATATTATTATATTTATTTTTGTTATAAATGATTTTTGACCTTTTAATACTGGTTGGATTTTTTAAATTATTTTTTTAGTTCTGTGCCTTAAGAAATAAAATAAGGTAACATAACATAAATAGATAAAGACATGTCAGTTCAGTACCTTTTTAACCGACTTCCAAAAAAGAGGGGATTCTATGTTCGTCTGTCTTTATATACCTATGTTTTTTTATGTAGCATGCATGTTCTCTGATTTTTCGAAGACAGCTTGACTGATTTTGCTACTACTGCATTAAGGTAGGTTCCGAGGTGGTCTCATATAATTTTTTTGACATAGAATATACTGTATTTGAGAAAATCAGGAACCACGACTAAATTTGAGGTATAAAATAAATATTAGGTGTATATGTTAAGCGATCTAATTTAACTCTACCTACTTCTAATTGTCATATCGACTTGAAAATTTGCAAGTTTTTGTATTTCTGATGATAATAAAGTTATTATATCATATTTGGTATCTTAGAGCTGATCTGATGGTGAGGCCAGATGGTGGAGAGTGGAACTCTTCAACGGCTACTAGTAAATACTTTGAGTTTGGGCTTATTTGGTTTCATTTGACAAGCTCAATACGCTAAAATTGGATATTAGAGCCTGATTTTTAGTGTTACTAATAAAAGTGAGCTTTTTAGTTTGTTAGCCTTTATATATTTGTTAACATACTAACATAAATGGATTAATCGAATATGTTATTAAAAACTTTCTTCTTACAAATTAGCTACTTATAATTAATTACCTGTATGTTGATTATACAGGTGGTATACGTAAATGCATTTGCCAACATAAAACAAGACGGAACTGCGTGACAAATCTAGTATCTCAAATTAAAAAAAAAATAATAACAACTCCCCACGGGAATTAAGCTTGTCGCTGTGGTGGAGCTTACGGGAAGGAGAAACTACAAAACAATATTAGAAAGACATTTACATCTAGACTAAATCTACGTAGCTAGCTAAAATCTCTTCCGTGAGAAGAAATAGTATCCATATCCATACTAATATTATAAATGTGAAAGTGTGTTTGTTTGTTTGTTTGTATGTTTGTTTGTTTGTTTGTCTTTCTTTCACGTCGAAACAGCTTGGCGGATTGGCGTGATCTTTTGTGTGGAGATAGTTGGAGAGCTGGAGAGTGACATAGGATACTTTTTAGCACAGGAGATTATCTCTTTCCCATGGGAAAACATGTTATAATACAATCCAAAAAAATATTTATGATCAGAATTACTTGAAACTTAATTATTATTACGGTATTAATACTGTTCAATACAATTAATTAAATACGTGTTTTAGCATTTTTCGAAATTCATCCCGTAAGGGGGTAAAATAGGGGATGAAAGTTTGTATGAAACCTACCTTTTTAGAGTTTTTTTTTGTTTTAGTGCGAGCAAAGCCGCGGGTTCTGCTAGTTAAATCTATATAAATAAAAATGAATCACCGAAATGTATGTACGGGCATAACTTCGATCGACTGCACCAAATTGGATAATTTTTTTGTTTCGTGTTTGTTATTATTAGAAAGTTTTGTATAGAAGAAAATTGAAATATTTTTTTTTACTAAAATAAGTTTTTTTTTGTATCTCATGATATGAAAAGTGAGTGAGTGAAATAGTTTTTATCCCGGAAATCATCCCTTAAGGGGTGAGAACTTGATAAACCAAATAAATAAATAAATGGGGATGGAAGTTTGTATGGGGAAGCAAGCTGGGGACGAACCCGAGCGACGCGAGGGTGAGTCTCTAGTAGGTATATATTATATAAAAATAATAATAATATATCCAAAATAATAATATATTATTATTACTATGTGAACTCACATAAAATAAAGGTCATGGTAAGCTGTAAAATAAATGGAAAAATCATGGTCGAAGGCAGATATCAATATATTTATTTGCTTATATTATAAATACGTGCGTTTGTTTGCTTGTTACGTCATAATGTCTTAAGCTATTTCTATATCTACATATTATAATAAAAATGTACCTGAGTCGAATCTGAACATTCAAATTATATTTTTTGAAAATGTTGTTTGTATTGAAATAGTCATTATTTATCGATACATAGGCCGAATCTATAGTTTTTAGAATTTTTTATCGTCTGTCTGTGACCGCGTCACGGAAAAACCACTGAAGGGATTTTGATGAAATTTGGTATGATGATAGCTGGTTAACCGGGTCAACATATAAGATATTTACTGTCGGAAAATATCTCATCTCTGTGAAAAAGCTATATCTCATCTGTGAGTCCTTAGTATTATAAAAAAAAATTAAGGTAACATTACACTTTGTCTCTTTCGAGAGGAAGAGAACTGATGTTTAAAAAGACAAAAGAATATAGCATTATTTTGATTATTTATTCTCAAAATTGTACATTAATTTAACTAATACATTATGTACCTTTATATTTCCCTTATTCTTTAAAGAAATCGAGAATAGTAGCGTAAATAGCAAATTAAGCTTCTATTTTTAACTTTGACATTGATTTATTACTCTATATATAAAATAAATAAATATGTTGGTACATTAACACACAGCACCATCTAGTTCCATTGTAAGCTACGAGGCCTGTGTTATGGATAACAGATAGTTGATACACTACACATATATAACTTTAAATACATACACATTATAAATATTAACACCCATGACTGGAGTACAAACATTCGTGCTCATCGCACAAATGAATCCCAGCGGGACTCGAACCCGCGACCGCTGGCACAGCAAGTAGGTTCACTACAAACTGAGCCAAGCGTGTCGTCAAAAAATAAAATATGTATATATACAAGTAATGCTTATTTAATACTATTTATTTATTTATATATTTAATTATTTATATATCTACGACTGCACGAATTTAGTCCGCTTTGTAACACTATTTCTCACTACCATAGGTTGGCTGGAAGATATCTCTTCTAGAGATAAGTCTACCTTTGTAAACAATAACAATATTTTAAATTACTGTATTGATTTTTTTAAGTGCAATAAAGAATAGTAATTTATTTATTTATATTACCCACAGAAATGACAACAATAATACAAAGATTATAATTTACATAATAAATTAAACACAGTACATATAACTGCATTTCTCTTTAGAGGTAATCACAACATGCGCTAATCCATACTAATATTATAAATGTCAAAGTGTGTTTGTTTGTTTGTCTTTATTTTACGTCGAAACCGATTGACGGATTGGTGTGATTTTTTGTGTGGAGATAGTTGGAGGGTTGAAGAGTGACATAGGTTACCTTTTACCTCGGGAGATTATCTCATTTGCACGGGAAAATACGTCATAATAAAACCCAAAAAAATATTTATGATTAGAATTACTTGAAACTTGGTGTTAATGCTCTTCAATACAATTAAATAAATACGAGTTTTAACATTTTTCCAAATTCATTCCATAAGGGGGTAAAATAGGGGATAAATATTTATATGAAACCTACCTTTATAGAGTTTTTTGTTAGTTTTAGCGCGGGCGAAGGCAAGAATTTTGTGTCTGAGATGCTTCTATGCGAGTGTAGTAATTTAAATAATTCATATTATATATAGAATAAAAGAAACTACTAATGTTAGAAAAAAAGTCATTGTAATCACTTCTCAATTAAACAGATTTAAGTTATTGAATCAAACATAAAAAAAACTTATAATAACAAATTAACAAATTTTCGCTAGTACTTGGCTTCGTAGGGTCAGAAAGACCATAATTTGGTTCGCAACATTTGAACACTGGGCTGGATTTTCACGATACCGCCTCCCTTACGGATACTTTCCCGCGCGGCCAATATTGCAACAACATTATCTGTGTTCAATGAGTTTCGATAAGCTGTTTTAATGTTTTTTTTTTTTAAATTACTATTATAATAATATTGCCAGCTAAACTAAAACATCCGCTTTTATCCCGCTCAATGCAAATACCTGATAAAATTACCCGCCATCAAAAAATCGCCTAAAATTACCCGCTTTTCGGGTAGTTACCCGACAATTGGCAGCGCTGACTTGACGTTATAATGTGCCAACTGTCTTTCGTAAGGATTATTCGTTTGATTACAAATCGAATGTTACGCAAGGTGTGTAGCAGTCGCTTTTGTATTCTTTCTAATTTAATGCTAAGATAAGATAATAAATAATAATCTATATTAATACTAGCGACGCACCCTCACTTGGTTCGGGTCCCCAGCTTGCTTCCCCGTACAAACTGTCATCCCCATTCTCACCCCCTTAAGGGATGATTTCCGTGATAAAAACTATTTTACTCACTCACTTTTCATATCATGATATTTAAAAAAAACTATTATTTTAGTTTTTTTTTCTTAAATTTTCTTCTATACATCCAATTTGGTGCAGTCGATCGGAAGTTATGCGCGTACATACATTTCAGTGATTCATTTTTATTTATATAGATTATAAACCGTCCGTCTATCTGTCTGTACGCGCTAAACTCTAGGAACTACTAATAGATAGCCCGTTTATGAAAAAGGCTATATGTCACATAATATATAGTGTATTCTATACTAACCTTTAATATATATTTAAAGTTAAAGTTTTTAAAACGTGAGCAATGTAACAGTTGACGACACGTTTGGCTCAGTTTGCAGTGACCCTACTTGCTGTGCCAGCAGTCGCGATTCGAGTCCCGCTGGGGGCATTCGTTTGTGTGATGAGCACGAATGTTTGTACTCCAGTCATGGGTGTTAATATTTATAATATGTATGAATTTAAAGTCATATAGTAGTGTATCAACTATTTGGTATCCATCACACAGGCCTCGTATCTTACCATGGAACTAGATGGTGCTGTGTGTTAATGTACCAACATATTTATTATTATTTATTTACATTTATTATAGAGTAACTAGTGTTGTTTTATTTCAGAAACGAAACAAATAATGAAAAATACAAAAGAATCAGCGATTGTTATGCTGGGAAATCGATTTTTGTTACTGGAGGTACAGGTTTTGTTGGCAAGGTAAGTACGTTCATCACACTACGATATATGTAAAAGTAAAAGTTCGTATGTATGTGTGTATTTATGCGCGCGTGCTTGCTATTCCAGACTATAATCTCCGTGCCAAATTTCATCCAAATTCGTTCAGCCGTTCTGGCGTGATTTAGTAACAAATCCATCCTCACAAATTTTTACATTTATAATATTAGTATGGATATTTATTTTTATACTTATTATTTTTGAATATTCCCGTCACATCCTATTTTCACGACTCTCACTCAGTGCTGCATTCAACTCTAGCGTCACCCCTGAGCACAGTAAAAAATGCCGCCCTATTATCGAAATTTTCCATAAAATAGGTAAAGTTTCGATAAAGTTTATTTTTTTTAATTATTTTTTTTTTTGAACAATGCGAAATAATAATTTATAAAAAATATACCTATTTCAATTTTTCGAAAAAAGTACTCGTAAATTTTTTTATTTATCATTTTTTGGGTAATAAAAAAATTTCGATAACGCGAAGAAAAATTGTTTTTTCCCACAAATACAAGTGACTCACCCTTGCTTCACTCGGGTTCGTCGCTAGGTTTCTTCCCTATACAATCTTTCATCACCATTTTCACCCCCTTAAGGGACGATTTCCGGGATAAAAACTATCCTATGTCCTTCCCAGAGTCTCAAACTATCTTACTAAATTTGATCTAAATCGGTTCAGTAGTTTCGGAGCTTATTCGATACAAGCAAACAAACAAAAAATCTTTCCACTTTATAGTATAGAATAATAGATAGAAGCCGCGAATTCTGCTAGTCTAATATATTCGAACAAGGAAAATTATTATATCTTGCGCAAATATCGCGTGATTGGAACTACTTCTTTCTATTTCTACAACATTGTCATTCAATTTGAATTATACAAAGTAGCACGCGCTTATTTCTTTTATAATTTACTAGCATTGCCCGCGGCTCCACCCGCGTTCAGATGACCAAAAACCAAACTTTTAGGCTTTACGTATTAGTATACTCTTACGATGCAGTTTTTGTATTTTTTCCCAGAAATGAGATATTTTCCCGCGGTAAAAAGTATCCTATATGTTGACCCGGATAACCAGCTATCATCATACCAAATTTCATCAAAATCTGTCCAGTGGTTTTCTCGTGATGCGGTAACGGACAGACAGACAGACAAACATTCTAAAAACTATAGATTCGGACTCTTTATCGATAATAATGTCTATTTCATTTTTAAATAAAACTATCTTTTCGGATTATTTCGCGGATTTATTTTGATTTTTGGTTCCCGACGTTTCGAATGCTTTACAGCATCCATGGTCACGGGAGAGACTGAGGTGTTACATGTCTTAAAGATATAGTTGTTACAGACAGCCTACCCACAATTAACAAAATGAAAATTGCACCAATTACATTACAATATTTTTAACTTTAAACATTTTTTATAATTTTAATTATAATTGAATATGGAAAATTATTTATTTAATTTTTGCTATTATTTTTATAATTATTACAATTTTAAAAATATTAATTAGTAATCTATATTTAGTGTTGCCATTATTATATTTATAACCATAAATAAAAAATATAAAAATATAGTATTAATTATTAAAGCCATATAATTGTTCTATGTGTAATTTAAAAAAAGTTAAAATTAATTACGGATAATCATTTTAATTTAGTTTGCTATTATTTAAAAACAACTTACTAAGCAACACTATTAATATATACTTTTTTTCATTTGTAAAAGTATATATTAATAGTGTTGCTTAGTAAGTTGTTTTTAAATAATAGCAAACTAAATTAAAATGATTATCCGTAATTAATTTTAACTTTTTAAATTACACATAGAACAATTATATGGCTTTAATAATTAATACTATATTTTTATATTTTTTATTTATGGTTATAAATATAATAATGGCAACACTAAATATAGATTACTAATTAATATTTTTAAAATTGTAATAATTATAAAAATAATAGCAAAAATTAAATAAATAATTTTCCATATTCAATTATAATTAAAATTATAAAAAATGTTTAAAGTTAAAAATATTGTAATGTAATTGGTGCAATTTTCATTTTGTTAATTGTGGGTAGGCTGTCTGTAACAACTATATCTTTAAGACATGTAACACCTCAGTCTCTCCCGTGACCATGGATGCTGTAAAGCATTCGAAACGTCGGGAACCAAAAATCAAAATAAATCCGCGAAATAATCCGAAAAGATAGTTTTATTTAAAAATGTCAAACATTCGCGTAAATCTAAGAAAGTATAATGTCTATTTCAATTAGATTTTCCAAAAAATATTTAATGTACAGATTCGACTTAGTTACAATTTTATTATATGTATAGATCATTTAAAGAAAGAATATAATATTACATATCATTTGTCAGACAATAACAACGGTTATCAAGGCAACAAACAGTTATCAGCTAACTTCATCATGTCACTTTTTGGCTGTCGGTGTGCACGCGCATCGTAAAAATTTTACTTTGATAATTTTTTCCAAACGTCTCAAAAGAAGTATAACTTCAAAAATATTTCAGGTTTTAATAGAAAGACTTCTACACACTTGCTCTGACATCGAAAAGATCTATGTTTTAATTCGGGAGAAGAAAGGACAAAGTGTGGACAAAAGACTTGAGCAGATGCTTGATATTCCTGTAAGTATAATTGGGATTCCACTGTCTCAGTGGTCTAGTTGCTAGCATGTACGGTGGGTATCCGAAGGCCCTAGGTTCAAGTCTCGGGTCGGTCCAAGTTTAGAAAAACTAAGTCTCTTTTTTAAGAAAGTCCCAGTAACAGCCCGGTGATGGTAATTTAGGTGTGTTTTAGACCAGTAACGGATTTAGGTTCGATGGCGCCCTAGGCTCAAGTCGATATGGCGTCCTTTTTCTTTCGTAACAGTATATAATAGATTAATTATTTTAACAAAGAAATTCTACCCTTGAAATGGTACAATGTTTAGATTGTAATAAGCTTTAAAATTTGGTCTTACAGTTTGCAGAAAACCCAATCGATTTTTAATTTTAGTCGTCTTAAAATTTTTGGCGCCCCTCAAAATTGTCGTCCTAGGCTCCACGGGCCTATGCCTAAATCTGCTACTGCTTTACACCCGTGTCGCGGCAGAACTCGTAAAACTATCAGTCCTGCGCCTTATTTCTTACCGGTCGAGTCGATTTATCGCCCCATCGGAGTATGAGAGTGACAGGAATAGAGAGTGCACTTGTGTCTGCGCGTACACTTGTGCACTATAATATCTCCTGCAATTGGCTAGTCTCAGTGAGATTGGCCGCCATGGCGAAAATTGGTCCGGAGGACATTATATTTTGAATGTAACTTTTTTATATATCTTCGCTGTATAATTAATACCTCGTATGTCGAAAAAATTTTTTTTGTAAAAATCAAATGAAAAGCACGTACCCCAGATAAGTAATGGATTGGTTAATAACATAAATAAATCCTTTATATCATTCAAAACGTGAGACAAAAGGATTAAGCACATAATATTTTAAACATTGACAAATGAACCATTTTTTTCGTTTCCTGTAAAATTTGGATCTCTGGACATACGAGGTTATCTTTCTACAGCGACGATATGTATATTGTATATGTCATCTTTTCTTTCGACACCTTTATATATTATTATTTTTTTCTCAACACTTATCGTGACATAAAAATACCACGAATTTGGAGAAAAAAAAGACCCCTAAAACGGGATCCTGGGATGCCCTATCAGATTGTACGCAAATCTTAATTTAAGTATCACTTTTGCAGCTTTTCGAGAAATTGAAAAATGTCAACCCGAGTGCGTTAAGTAAACTGGTAGCCATAGGTGGTGATGTATCGAAAAAAGAATTGGCTATCAAACCTGAAGATGAGCAGAAAATAATTGATAATGTGAGTATTACATTTAACTACTAGCGACAACCAAAACCAAATCTATCTCACGAGAATCGTATATTTTTACGGGATAAAAAACCTATGTGCTATTCTAGAATATAATCTATCTCTGTGCCAAATTTCATCCAGATCCGTTCTGCTCTTCTGGCGTGATTGACAAAGTGTTGACAAAAGACTTGAGCAGATGCTTGATATTCCTGTAAGTATAATTGGGATTCCACTTTCTCAGTGGTCTAGTTGCTAGCATGTACGGTGGGTATCCGAAGGCCCTGGGTTCAAGTCTCGGGTCGGTCCAAGTTTAGAAAAACTAAGTCTCTCTGTTAAGAAAGTTTTTACGCTTTAACGTTTAGTATAGATTTCTCAAAGATGAGATTTTTTAACGCAGTAAAAAGTATCCTATAATATGTTAACCCGGATAACCAGCTATCATCATACCAAATTTCATCAAAGTCTGTCCAGTGGTTTTCTCGTGATGCGTTCCCAGGCAGACAGACAAACAGACAGACAAATATTCTAAAAACTATAGATTCCGCCTCTGTATCGATAATAATGAATATTTCAATAAGATTTTCCAAAAAATATTTAATGTACAGATTCGGTTCAGAATTTTATTATCTGTGTAGAATTGTATTATTTGCAATTTTTAGTGTAACGTGATATTACACATAAGGCACAATTTAAAACATTTTTTTATTATGAAATCAAAAATGAATCTAACTTTACGGACATAACGACATCTATACTTGCATTTTATTTTATTTTTTTATTGGCCAAGTCATAAACAAACACATTCTCATTCAATTAAATTCATTATATATTTTTTTAAATTACGCAAACATACAAAGTATATAGTATGCCCGTATGTATATAGCAGCCCTTTTTAACGTCCCACTGCTAGGGGCCTCTCTTCAATACGATAGGGATCACGCCATAGTCCACCACGCTGGCTAAGTGCAGGCGGGCTGAGCATGTCTTTCGAAAACTTGCTAGGTTCTCTCAGACATGCAGGTTTTCTCACGATATTATCTTTCACCATAAGACAACTGGTAATCATGTTGGAAATGATTCGTACATGAAAATAACAGAGATGCAAGACCCAGGATTTGAACATGCTTCACTCGGTTTTTCAAGCGAGCGAGTTATCACTGGTCTACCACTGCCTTTCATGGCGTATTGAAATGGCTGCCCGATTTGTTGACATTTATGATTACTGCTCCGCTCCCTTGTGTAGTAGCATGATGATATATAGCCTTATAGCCTTACTCAATAAACGGGCTATCTAATGCAAAAAGAATTTTTCAAACCGGATTAGCAATTACTGAGATTGGCGTGTTCAAACAAACTAACAAACTTTGCATCTTTATGATATTAGTTATATTTTTTTTAAAGAAAATGAAGACTAACTTTGTTATTCACAATAATCGTTTACTGTTCATTTTTATTCATACAATAAATTTTACGTATAAAAAATAATGTTTTTGTTGGAATAATAATTTAATTTTTATATATGGCTAAAGAACTAGCTTTCCCTGTGGTTCTACTTGCGTAGTCTATTTATATTTTTATAATATTTATTTAACGACACATTTGGCTTAGTTTGTAGTGACCCTAATTGCCGTGCTAGCGGTCGCGGGTTCGAGTCCCGCTGGGGGCATTTGTGGGATTAGCAATGTTTGTACTCCAGTCATGGGTTATATACATATACATGTAATGTATCAACTATCTAGTATCCACAACATAAGCCTCGTAGCTTACCATGGAGATAGACTCTCAAAAAAATATTCTTAAAAATAATCGCATCCATTACTTATATTTAAGTCTAATACTTTAAGAAATAACATCAATTTTTTACAAAAAATCAAATGGGAGGACATGTATGGGATTTGTTTTTTTTAAATTAGATATTATACAATGCATACATCAAATGCTTCATACAAATGACTAAAGCTATTTATTTCTAATGTATTAGATTTTACTCATTTAAGACCAATTTGTTAAAGATTATTGAGTATTGAACAAAACGTATTATTCCGTCGCGGAACTGCAAATGTATGGGATTTTACTTAGATGATACTCGCACTAAATATGAACATAAATTATTGTTGTATTAATAATATTATATTGTAAATTGTTATTATATTTAGTTAGCTTTTTTAAACTTAATAAAACTGACTTAACACACAGCACCATCTAGTTCCATGGTAAGCTACGAGGCTTGTGTTATGGATACCCGATAGTTGATACACTACACATAAATAACTTTAAATATATACATATTATAAATATAAACACCCATGACTGGAGTACATACATTCGTGCTCATCACACAAATTAATGCCTCTAGCGGGACTCGAACCCGAGACCTCTGGCATAGCAAGTAGGGTCACTACAAACTGAGCCAAACGTATCGTCGCAATAAATAATGCAATTATCGCCGGCTCTTCTCAGTTGTTTATTTGAATAAAGAATATTATGATTTTGATTTTGAAAGTGTTTTTACGTTTTTTATGATTTTTGCCAATTGCGGGTTGAATTTTTACAAATTCATATTTTTTAATAAATAACCTATTTCGAAACGTAAGTTCCTGACGAACCAAATATAAAAATAAATCCGCGATAAATCCGAAAAGATTTTATTCATACCATCAAATATTCGCGTAAATCTTAAGAAAGTATTATACTATATAGTAACTTATACAGCTCAGTACACAACAACTTATGCACCTAATTTAGTAAAATTTGGCATGCTGATACTAAGCTGATAATATTGCAGGTCAAACAACAGGTTACTTATTTTTATCCCGGAAAAATGAACGGTTCCCGTGGGATAGATCTGTTTGTGCTTTTCTAGAGGTGAACCCGAGCGAAGCGAGGGTGAGCCGCTAGTATACTATAAATGTCAAGAATGGACGGACGTACAGACGTCTATTTTTTTTATTTAAGTCATTTCGATCGCTCATTTATTTTGAATTGCACAATTTATGAATTATGATGCTGTTTTAGTTATTGCCATCATTAAGAGAAAATCCGGAAGATTTATGTTTTTAATAAATTATATTATATTATAAAATATGTAGAAATACAAGACTACTAGAAACATACCCTCACTTCTTTCTTCTATCTTCTTTGGATTTTTGATCACCACTTGTCTTACGGAGAAGGAAACCAGCATGTCTGAGAGGACCTAGCAAGATTTCGAAAGACATTCTCAGTCCGTTCGTACTTGGCCTGTGTGGTGGACTATGGCCTGATCTCCCTCGCATTGCAGGAAGGCCCACCCCAGTGAGACGCTAAAAAATGCCAATTACAAGTATGGATAAACAAATCTCATTTCAGGTATCCATTGTCTTTCATACAGCCGCCAGTGTAAAATTTAGCAACCCTCTACACGTTTTCATGAATATTAACTACGAAGGAACTAAAAGAGTGGTGAAATTAAGCAAGAAAATAAAAAATTTGGAGGTAAGATATGTTGTGTCGTACTTGTAATATTTTTATCCTGGTGCCTCGTTGGTGTAGGGGGTAGCGTGTAAGGCTGCAGCCGGATATGTTAACCTGGATATTTTAGCCCGGATACGTGAGCCAAATTATATTAGTCCGGATACATTAACTCGGATACGTTAACTCGGATATTGTAGCCCGCATTTGTTAGCCCTAAATATGTGTTAACTCGGATATGTAAGGTCGGATAATATAGTTAGCCCGGATAAGTTAGCCTATATATTTTAGCCAAGATATATGTATTAACCCGGATAATTAGTTCGGGTAATTAACCCGGATATAATACTTAAATACTTTTTAGTGTTCAATTAAAAAAAAGTATTTAAAATACTGCTTTTATCATCGCTGCCCGCTGGATCTGGAGGCCATAAAAGGCTGTCATTGTCATCAGTTATTTATTGTTCGTTAAACTGTGGTGAACTTTGATCATTTTGAAAAAATAATTGGAAATCTTAATTTTACTACTAACTGAACTAGCGAAAATTAAGGTTTGTATGTATTTTTAATGCCGAATCATAAAAAAATTAAAATAAAATTTTTTGTCTAAAAAAAATAAATTTGCGATGGACCACCTTTATCACTTAGGGGTATGAAAGTAGTTTACTTCCTACTGAATATTCAATATACACACAGAATCGGTCACGCTGTTTCAAAGGAGTTTTGTTACAAACACTGTGACACGAGAATCTTATATATTAGACTAGCATTGCCCGCGGCTCCGCCCGCGTTCAGATGACTAAAATACCAAATTCTTAGGTTTTACATATTAGTATACTCTTACATTGCAGTTTTTGTATTTGTTTCTCAGAAATGAGACATTTTCCCGCGCTAAAAAGTATCCTATATGTTGACCCGGATAACCAGCTATCACCATACCAAATTTCATCTAAATCCCTATAGTGGTTTTTCTGTGATGCGGTAACAGACAGACAGACAAAAATTCTAAAAACTATAGATTCGGCCTCTGTATCGATAATAATGTTTATTTCAATAACATTTTCCAAAAAATATTTAATGTACAGATTCGGCTTAGTTACAATTTTATTATACGTATAGAATATAGATTACTATAAGCATACTGTTCTCATGTAGTATTGTTGATCGAGGCTATCAAATTTCACTTCAACAAAAGTGTTGTTATATTACAACAGTAAATAAAACTATCTTTTCGGATTATTTCGCGGATTTATTTTGATTTTTGGTTCCCGACGTTTCGAATGCTTTACAGCATCCATGGTCACGGGAGAGACCATGGATGCTGATGGATCCGAAAAGATAGTTTTATTTAATAATTTCAAACATTCGCGTAAATCTAAGAAAGTATTGACAGTAAATAAGTAGAATGTAAGGAAGTAGTATAATTAAAACTAACATTTCTTTACATGTAATTGTACAACGAAAACTAGTAATAAGAGCATCGAAGTAGGTAAATGTTTCATGATAGAAATAAGAGCACTGTAAAAATCTATATCTATTAACATATATACACATAATAAAAGTGTAACTGATCGCAGCTCTCTGTACATGGAAAATATTTGAGAAAAACTATTATTGGGAGTCTTTGTTAATGCAATAGAACCCAAAATAATGATTTTTAGAATGTTTGTCTGTTCGTCTGTGCGCTTGTGCGCGCTAATCTCAGAAACGGCTGAACCTATTTAAGTGCGGTTTTCACTCATGTATTGTGGTAAGCTTCATTTAGTATTAGTTTTATTTCAATCGGTTCATAAATAAAAAAGTTATGTTAATTTAAATAATCACCTAGGGACGAACTCGAGCGGAGCGATAGTGAGTCGCTAGTGTTAAAACAAGAATACTGTAATATTAATAAATAGTTATAGAAGTACCAAAAAAACCCGAGCAAAATTCAATCGCCCAGGTGGCCTGTATTTTATATTTATACTTCATTGTTTTATTCCAGACATTTCTCTACTTTTCCACTGTCTTCTGTAATGCGGATAAGAGTTTGATAGATGAGGTGATTTACCCAAGAATATGTGACGAAAAAGAAGTGTACAATTTCTTAGATACATATGGAGATAATCCTAAAGTAATTAAACAGCTTTTAGGTGAGTACTTTAGTGAACTATACTAACTGCATTAACTGCCTCTGTGGCCTAGTGGCTAGCATGTACAGTAGGTCCCGAGGTCCTGAGTTCGAGTTCCGTGTCGAGCCAAATTTAGTTTTTGAGTGTTTTTAGTGAGGAATTCTCAATAACAGCCCGGAATTCGGAAGGTGTTTCCCTCCCGTGCTTTGAAGAGCCCTAAGGACTGTCCGTCCTGCGCTTGATTTCTCACCGGACGTGTTGAATTGTCATTCCTCCTGAGTATAAGAGTGACAGTGGGCCGTTCATTAATTACGTAAGAACAATTTTGGTCATTTTTGTTTGTATGTTTGTTTGTATGTTTGTTTGCCTGTCTATCAGTTGGTCTGTCTATCTAGGAACGCATCACGAGAAAACCATTGGACAGAATTTGATGAAATTTGGTATGATAATGGTTGTTTGGTCAACATACCTATAGGATAATTTTTACTGCGGGAAAATGTCTCATCTCTGAGAAATCTATACTAAATATTAATATGAGCATAAAGGTGGCGCTCCGTGTATATAAAATACAAAAGCCACCTATCTCTAATCGAGTTTACTAATAAAAACCATATTATCAGCAATTAATGAGAAATAAAAAAATGACTTCTTTTCAGATGGACAACCCAACAGGTACACACTATCGAAATCTATCTGCGAGAATTTCTTACAGGATGAGCATAAACCACTACCAACTGTCATTGTGCGACCTGCGATTGGTAATTATTATAAAACTTTAAAAAAAATTAATAACAACCGACTTAACAAAACACTAAAAAGTAAAAACTAACTGATTAGTAGTTTTCATTTACTATAGATACAAAAGAAAGCAATCAGTTATTTTTTTTACTTTTTAGTGTTTATTATATATTTTTTAAGGCCGGTTTTTGTAAGTTTTCATTTTTCTATTTTTAGTGTTGCCTACACTAAAAATAGAAAAATGTAAAGAAAGTATTTTAAAAATTCTGTAGGTGAAAAATCAATAACCCCATTTTCTATACTAGGGGGATTAGGGTATTATACATTTAAAAAAAATGGATATCAGATAGTTGATAACTACACATATACAAACTTTAAATACAAATATATTATAAATATAAACACTCTAGACTGGAGTACAAACATTCGTGCTCATCACACAATGAATGCCCCCAGCGGGACTCGAACCTGCGACCGCTGGCACAGCAAGTAGGGTCACTACACACTGAGCCAAACGTGTCCCATATATACTTATAGTAATGTATGAGATGAGGCACGTCCAAACAAATGGAATGAGCCCAAATTTGAAGATTTTAATATTTATCATTAAAGAGTTCCACTACGTCCTGGCTCCTTCCTCAAGAGGCTTGATTGTATCAAAATGTCATCTGGTTAGGACATTATTATTTTAAAAAGTTTAAAAAGACAATAAAACTATCTTTTAAGATTTTTTAGCCGATTTATTTTGATTTTGTTGTTCCCGACGTTTCGAATGCTTTACAGCAATCATGGTCACGAGAGAGACTGAGATTTTGGACATCTCAAAGATCAAAACATAGTTGTTACAGACAGTGCTTACCTACAAAATTGCAAAATGATTTCAAAATATAATAAACTATTGACTCACCCTTACTTCGCTCGGGTTCGTCTCTAGGTTGATTCCCCATACTTTAATCCCAACCTTCACCCCCTTAAGGGATAATTTCCGGGATTAAAACTATTCTATATCCTTCCCAGGCTCTCAAACTATTTTATTACCAAATTTTATATAAATCGGTCCAGTAGTTTCGGAGCTTATTCGGTACAAACAAACAAAAAAATCTTTCCTCTTTATAATATTAGTATAGATTGATAATTATCTGTACCAGTGACTCCAATGTATAAAGAGCCTCTTCCTGGATGGGTCGACTCGTGGGTAGCTTCTACTGCTCTCTACAGTGACATCGCTCGCGGTCTCACAAAAGTGTTTTATGGTGAGAAAAATATCTTGTGCGACATGATTCCTGTCGATTATGTCGCTAACTTGGCTATTGTCGCTGCTGCAAGAGGAAATAAGTAAGTTTTATATTTTAATAACGAGTTACCATAGATAAAAAATGTGCTAGATACACAATCGGCGACAAAAATGTCCTCACCGAATGAGCGCCCATTTGAACATTTGAGCACGCTTTTAATTTTTTTTGTGAAAACTAAAATTTACATTGTTGTTTATTATTTCAACTAGATTGATTACTTAAACACAATTGGTGACAATTTTAAGAGAATTTTGCATGGGATTGTGTTCGATGCGATTAACTCTTAATTCGTTCAAGTGCGTCCGTTTACTGTCACCTCGTGCCTAACAGTAGCATATATGTTTCTTCGAGTCGATGAAACATTATATACGAGCGACTCAACCACGCTTCGCTTCGGGTTCGTCCCTAGACGAAAATCTATCCCACAGGAACTGTAGATAGTTCCGGGATGAAAAGTAATCTATTGCTATTCCAGACTATAATCTATCCGTGTGCCAAATTTCATCCAGATCCGCTTAGCCATTTTGGCGTGATTGAGTAACAAACATCCAAACTTTCGCATTTATAATATTAATGGGATTTATATTCTTAAAAACGTTTTTCGAGATCTACTCAGCGGTTTAAGAGTGAAAAGGTGACAAAAAGGCATGATATGGCATAAATGCGACACTACCCATGACATGAGCAGTATAATGTACGTCTAAATCACTCAAGAAATTTAAAAACAATATATTATTTCAGGACAGACAACATATTAATATATAATTCTTGCACTAGTACTGCCAACCCTATAACTTGGAAAATGGGAGCAGATTTGTATGTAGAGGAAAGTCAGAAATACAGCACTAGTAAGTATATATATATATATATATATATAGTCAACAAATTTAAACTTAATCAACTGATATTTATGAACTACACGTTGTAGTGTCTATGCAAGTCTATAAAAGAGGTCTTGGTGTAGTTCTAGCAGGTACGGTAGCAGATTCGGAGGTCCTGGACTCGAGTCCTGAGTCGGTCCAAGTTTAAATTTAATTAATTAATTTTAATTTAAACTTGGCCTAACCCGGGAGTAGTAGTAGAGTTTAGTAATCTAATTTTTCTGTCAAGAGACAAGAGTTGGGAAGTTGGCGGTATTTCATGTACGTGCCTCATCTTGCATCGGTCCGGTCGTCGTCTGTTGGCACATGATCTCTCACTACGAGTGTGTCGAATTGTCGTCTCATCGAAGCTTGAGAATGAAAGAAATAGAGAGTGCACTTGTTTTTGGCTGAATCGATCGGTGATGCCGAGGCGGAAATCGGCAATTACATTGTTTATTTATTAGATTCACCAGTGAAAATTACAGTAGGTATTACAATTTAACGGACGGACGAACGGTTGGATGGACAAACAAACATTTTAAAAATTGTGTTTTTCTTATATGTACCGTATAGGTATACTTTCACATGCATTTAGTAAAAAAACTATTATTACGTTACACACAGACGCTTCAATTTTATTTATTACTAGAGTTACCCTCTCGTTGCATAATCTATATGAGTATCATAAAACTAAATTCGTCCAGCAGAGTCAGAGAGAAAGATAAACAACATACACACAAACTTTCGCAATTATAATAGTTGTTATAATTATTTGCATATATTTTTGAAGTGTAACTTCTTTAGAATGGTTGTGATTTAAAACTCGATGAAACGGAAATGCGACACTAGAAAGAGACACACATATAAATATATAGGATTAAGCCGGCGAGAGAGTGAGATAGAATACATTGCCATGTTGCCATGGTAACCGTTTTTATTGTCTGACAAATTTATAATATTAAATTCTCTCCGTATATGATGCTCTATAAATATATGATTGTAATATACCCAATATGCCTTATTCAATTATTTGAGCTAAAATATATTACACAGGAAGTGAAAAATAATAAAATTAATCTCACTATCTCGTAGGTTACTTTTCTGAAGCTTCACTTCTACCGTGTGTGAAAATTGCAATACGCACTTAAATTTTTTTTGTTTATAGATGGGGTAGTACCAAAGAAAGCTCTTATATCAACTTCTCCAGCTGTAGTCAATTTCCTAACGTTCACGCTACAGACTGTGCCGGCATTCATGACTGATTTATGGCTTCGCGTGAAAGGAGAGCAACCGAAGTTTGTATTGTTGTTTTTTAATGGATCATACAAATACATTTTCTTATATATATATACACTGATTTCAAAATCATTTATCAAGTACTTTTGTTTTGATTTTTTCTAACATACTGAATTTAAAAAAGAGTGATAAAATTTGGATCACTATTAGCGAAAATACTTACTGGATAGAGTACCTTCTTTTTTTGAAGTCGGTCAAATGAAGATATGCGGGTTGCTCCTGGTACCTACTTCTCTGATAGCAGAGTGGACTGTTGGAACAACCCCATATTGTGTGGTCTGCTTCCGCAGACCTGCCGTCGGGGTGTCGTGCTTGAGTGCGTAAGCGATCCTGCGACGCCCCATTAAGACGGGGGAGGATGTGTCGGGTTTCAGTGGGTAGTAGTGGCTTTTCTAGTCGGTGAGTGCCACATAACCACCTGTATACGTTACCCGATTTTTTACTAACTTAAAAAAAAGCAATAAAAAAATTACCTAACGTGGCATATAACTTGTATGTACATAAATTGATATACTGCCTCGCTGATGTACTGGCTAGCATGAACACCCGCAGATCCGGAGGTCCTACGTTCGAATCCCAAGTCGGATCAAGGTCAGTTATTGAGTCTTTCTGTTTAGTAAGTTAAAAAGTTTGCGGTGTTTTACCCCCGTGCCTCGGAGCGCACGTAAAGCCGTCGGTCCTGCGCCTTAACTCTCACCGGGCGTCTCGAGTGGTCGTCTCACCGGAGTATGAGAGTGACAGTAATTATAGAGAGTTCACCTGATTTACCTTCACTTCGATCAAAAAGGATTTTTAAATAAACCTTCATAAAGTTTAATCTCTTTTGTTTCAGGCATTTGAACCTACAAAAACGATCTGTGGTTCTCAGAGATATTATAAAAATATTCACAACATCCCAAGTTCAGATTAAATGTGATAAAGTCGTACAACTGATATCTACTATGGACGAAAAAGACAAGATTCTATTCCCGTGTGATCCAAAAACGATTGCATGGCGAAAATACTTCCGTGTATTTTATAGGGGCGTGGGTAATTATATGTTGAATAATAAATAAATGGAAATTGTTACAACGTAGTTTTATTTACATATTATATCTGTAAATGTGGCATATCCTTATAATTCTACCTATTATTTTATTCCCATATATTGTTTTCGATTTCTATTCTCTCAATGAACGAATAACATCTTTGTTAAGCCACCTGAATGACCTTTACAATCTGGAACATATCCATATTATCTAAGTATTATCACAGTCCACAGATCATATAATACTATACTAGTATATCAAAATTAGAACGAAAGAGCGTTTGTTTGTATATTTGTTATTCCTTCACACTGAAACTGCTAGACGGTTTTGGATGAAATTTAGTAGGTACAGATAGATTCTGTTAATAATTTCTTAGATTTACACGAATATTTGACATCTATACATATACTAAAATTCTAACTGAGTTGAATCTGTACATTAAATATTTTTTGTAAAATCTTATTGAAATAGTCATTATCAGCGATACAGAGGCCAAATCTATAGTTCTTAGAATTTTTGTCTACTTCTGTCTGGGCACGCATCACGAGAAAATCACTGACATCAGACTTTGATGAAATTTGGTATGATGATAGCAGATTTTACGGGTAAACATATAGGATACTTATTGCTACGGGAAAATATCTCATCTCTAAGAAGTCTATACTCACCGTACTAAACGTACCAAGTAGTTTTAAATTTAAACTATCTTCTAGGATTTTTACGTGGATTTATATTGATTTTTGGTTTCTGACGTTTCTAATGCTTTAAAATGATTAATCAACTCTCTCCTATCTCTTCTATGACCATGATTGCTATAAAGCATTCAAAGTGCCGGGAATCAAAAATCAATAAAATCCGCAATAAATCCGAAAAAAACATTTTATTTAATCCCTCAATGTCCGCGGACACGCCGGCGTTACAGTTAACAATAGATTTCTTAAAAATTTAATTAATTTCTTAGAAATTTACCTGGAGGTGTTAAAATTGGCTATTGTTATTAAAAAATTAAGCAAAAGATGGCGCTGTCACCTGAATATAGTATCGTAAATATTTTCTAGGGACCTGAGCGAAATGAGAATAAGTCGTTAGTTTTAAAATCGTATAATTCATGCAACAATAAATTAGTAATCACAAATTTTTCGATAATGTTATCTGGTCACCGTATATCCAGACACCTGCATATTATAGATAGTAGATGATAGAACTAAAAATGTTTCTATGTAGCACATACTATGTATAGATAGTACACATACATGCGTTTGGTTGAAATTTACAAAATGCTGAAATGACGAATGGATGTTTTTTTCGTGCTTGCTTTTGAATTTGAGCGTGTAATGTATAAATGAGTTGCAGGTTAAGTATCAATTTAGCTTTTTTCTATTCTTTTACACATTAAAAATAAGATTAAGGATTTTCAAAACACAAAAATTAAAGCTAAAAGTTACATTGTTTCAACGATTTTTTAAATAAAACTATCTTTTCGGATTATTTCGCGGATTTTAATTATATAATTTATTAAATCCGCGAAATAATCCGAAAAGATAGTTTTATTTAAAATTGTCATACATTCGCGTAAATCTAAGAAAGTATTATTGTTTCATCGAAATTAACCTCAGTTTACATAATATCTAAATTTCTGTGTTGTCTATAATGTTATGTTAATAAAATAAATAAAATGTAACTTAGAAGAGCTACTTGAGTTTTTCTTGGGCTCTTCCCAGCAGAACTGCTTTCCGAGCCGGTGGCAGCTTTTTCAAGGACTGACTACACTGACGCTCTTTAAATTAAATTGGCAATTCAAAAGTTTTAGTATAAGTGTAATTGAATAAATTTTAATTTTATTCATAACATTTATTAATTCGTTTAAAAAAACTGTAATTACTGTTATAATATTTTACAGCGTTATCTGCATTACATTCTACACCTACTTCTTATAATTATTATTACTTACCAAATTTCAACCTAGTTCTCATATCAACCAAGTAAAGTAGCTGTAACTTACGAACAAAAGGACATGATGAAATTTTAAGGGTATTTGCAATTTGGCCAATAAAACTTAAAATATCAATAAGAGACTCCATATCTATACCTTCTTAGCTCTGTGGAAATAGCCTAATATATTGATAAAAGTAATCGTGTTGATAACACGCGTAGAATGAAATCTTTCCTTTTATGAAATTAATAAGTTTACTTGTTTGATTTGTAGTGATGGACAAACAGACGCTTTTTTTGTTTGGTAAGTTTTTTTATGTATATATTTCACTTTCTTTTTTTCCTATTTTCATTTTTCCCAAAAAAAAAAATATTTAAAATAAAAATTAGCCGATCCATCCAGCTGTTGTAAGTGCATCAAAGAAGGACATTTCATTGTTATTTTAATAGAAACAAATAAAAGAATGAACGTTATTAAATTGTATTATAGATTCTATTATGGACATGTTTTAATTAAGTATGAAAAAAAAAGTGTAGTACACTTAAACTAAAATCGTAGCCCTTTTTAACTTAAAGGTGCTTTCCACAGGAGTTAAAAGATGTTAGTAAACTTTTGTTAGTGAACATTTTATCGCACAAAAAAAAACATATTTTAACAAAAGTTATTAAATATTCTCTTTTTATTAAATATTTCCTAACATAATACTTTCTTAGATTTACGCGAATATTTGACATCTTAAATAGAACTATCTTTTCGGATTATTTCGTTATAATTATTGTAAGGTACTTGGTGCAATTTTTCATTTTGTTAATTTTGGGTAGGCTGTCTGTAACAACTATACCTTCGAGACATGTAACACCTCAGTCTCTCCCATGACCATGGATGCTGTAAAGCATTCGAAACGTCGGGAACCAAAATCAATCAATCCGCGAAATAATCCGAAAAGATAGTTTTATTTAAAATATTTCCTAACACTTGCAAACAAAACAATTTGAAACAAAATAAGTATAACAATTTGTAACTTTTGTTAGAAAACATCCGTACAGCGGTTCTGGCGTGATTGAGTAACAAACATCTATCCATCCAAACTTTCGCATTAATTAAACACGGTACTTATAATTAAAAAAAAAAACAATTTTAAAAACAAACTCTGAAAGTATTTTTCATGTACCTTAAAACTTGCATCTGTTGTGGAGTGGCCTTTCTAAAACCAAATTGTTTTTATTATAAAATACATCCACCAAGTATATGTAGTGTAACGTAAGTGTTTCTCTAGGTCATAACCTAATCTTTACCAGGGTTCAGAATCGGTTTAAAAAGAAACGGTTAATTTCGGTAAGGTAATGGTTTATTCATCGCTCGTTCGTTAACCGGTTAATAAGAACAACCGGCTTAGTAAATCAAAATATTAATGTTTAACGGTTATTCTTAGAGAAAGGTTCGATTTGGGTTTGATACCGAAATACACCGATTAATTCATTCATAAGTAAGAAACGTACATTTATTGTATATGTAAACTCACAAAAACTCATATTTCGATGGTACTAGTCATCAAAAACCGAGTTTTAACCGATTAACGGTTAAAGAACGTAACCGAAACCTTAAACCGAAAAGCAGTGCGGAGTCAATGACTAAAACTGATAAAAAAATTGAACGAGTTTCCGAGCCTAATCTATACAAAATTTCAATCAAATCGGTACAGCCGTTTCAGCGTGATGGAACAACAAACTCATAAACTTTCGCAATTATAATGTCAGTGTGCTTCCAGCCTTCCTCCTCTCCATCCATCATGTCACATCTATATGGAATTGTTCCCTCGACTCAGACTGCTCCAGCTTGAGAGGAAGTATATGTAATGCTGGAATTTGCGAATGCAGACCAGGAAGCCAGTCTGTTCTTGGAGGCACCATGTGCGCTGATAGTAAGTTACTCTTCATCTATTTCTTTATAGACAAGCGACATACTTTCGCTTCGCTTGGATTCCTTTCTAAGGTTCTTCGTCTATACATATAATAAAATTGTAACTAAGCCGAATCTGTATATTAAATATTTTTTGGGAAATCTTATTGAAATAGACATTATTATCGATACAGAGGCCGAATCTATAGTTTTTAGAATTTTTGTCTGTCTGTCTGTCTGTTACCGCATCACGGAAAAACCACTGGAGGGATTTTGATAAAACTTGGTATGATGATAGCTGGTTATTCGGGTCAACATATAGGATACTTTTTACCGCGGGAAAATAAATCATTTCTGAGAAAAAATACAAAAACTGCATTATACGAGTATACTAATATGTAAAATCTAAGAATTTGGTTTTTGGTCATCTGAACGCGGGCGGAGCCGCGGGCAATGCTAGTATTATATATTTTAGTGCTTTATATGAAACCATAGAGGCAGTGTATGACAGTGAAGCGACTTATCGGCCACTTTTCTTCTAATTTCAATTAAACTTATTATAATTTCTGACAGGATAAACCTTTTCTATCATTAGCATTCGGTGGTTATATATTAGTGAAAACATTTTTAGAATGGAATCAGTAGTTTCAGAGATTATCCCCTACATATAAACTTACAAAATTATCTCCTTATAATATTAGTGTATGATGATGCGGATAAAGAATAAACGAATTCAAAGAAGCTATTTTTTCCTACAAAAGAACTATTGCTTTTTGAAAATAGTACTAACATTATTTGTTATTTTTTTTATTTCCAGTTGCCCCATACCACACCTCACCATGCTTTGAGGACTATCAATGCGTGAGATTATTCAGTGGATATCATTGTCGGAAGAACGAAAATGAAACTGGTAAGATCATAACACTTTCTTAGAAAATAATACTTTCTTAGAAAATAATACTTTCTTAGATTTACGCGAATATTTGACATTTTTAAATAAAACTATCTTTTCGGATTGTTTCGTGGATTTATTTTGATTTTTGGTTCCCGACGTTTCGAATGCTTTACAGCATCCATGGTCACGGGAGAGACTGAGGTGTTACATGTCTTGAAGGTATAGTTGTTACAGACAGACAGGTATAGTTGGTAAGATCATGACTAATATCTATTATTTGTCAAGAAGAAAATATTTAAAAAAATGTTTAAGTTAAACGGTTTTACTGGAAAGAAAGATTAATAATGATGTACATAATGTACTAAAAGCTAATAACTAAGTAGGTCCTACGTATTGCCCCTTCTTTTTTATATTTTTTTTAAACTGCCTAAATTAATTCTATGATCGCACTTTGTTCTACTTGTAAAGCATTTTAAAACAACATTTAATAAGCGTTTTATATCCATAATGAGGAGGTTGTGGAAAAATATGTAATCTGCCATTTTGTGGCGGCGGCCATCTTAGATTTAGAATGATACTGAATGTATTCAATTGTATTGTCATCAGAACTAAAGGTGTGTACCAAATATCAGATCAATCTGTCAACAGAAAAGGGGTAAAATTTTAATTACCCAAACAAAGAGACAAGCTAAACAAAACCGTTTAAAAATAATTGTTTTTTACCTAAAAAAAAATATTTTAAACCCGTAGGAGAGGATTAAATGGTTTTCCAAAAAAATTCGCAAGTACACTCTATTGATTACAACTCTTTGTAATTTTGACACTTTCGCATTGAAAGGAGGCCCGTGCCCAGCTGTGGGACGTTAAATAGAGTTGAATACATAATTTTAACCAATAATTTCCAGTTGGTAGCTGCCTGTGTCTTCCTGGCCATCACTATTTCCGTGGAAGATGCTGGAGATCTATTAACTTTGGGGACACTTGCTCTCGTTCTGAGGAATGTATGGGAGTGATTCGTGATCCTTTCAGCATGACATGCAATAGTACCTGTCAATGTTCTGAAGGCCACTATGAGAGACAGCGAGGAGAATGTCGAAGAGCAGCTTTAAGTGAGTTAAATTAACAATAGTTTTTGTTTGCACGTCAGAATGCAGTTATTACAGAATGAACATTAATAATTTAGTAAGAGAAAAGCGACATATCCTCGCTTCGAGCGGGCTATTCCCTGGGTGTCTAACAATAGCCTTTATATGCTACTACATAGTCGATAGATGCACTAAATGTCATCAAAATCCATTCAGCAGCTTAAGGTTTAACAAAAATAGACACACATATATAGTAGCCCGATACTAAAAAGGGAATAAGTGATGAAAATATTTTCTAAGCGATATTGTTACGAGCTGTACGAGCGAGTTCAGGGATCGAAGTCAATGCAGTTTATACTATAGACATTTTAATACTATCGCAAACACGAATGTCACTTTTATTGGCTCACATTATTATTAACTTAATTTAGTAACTAAATATATATTCAACACTAACTTTTTCACTATTTGCACTATCATGTCACTCAATTTTAGTCACTTTTTCACATTTCTTCCACCTTCAACTGATCATTCTACTTACTGCCTTTTAATTGTGCATAAACAAAGAACATTGTAGTTATATATAAAATTTGAAAATGTTCTACAAATATCATTTTTTTCCAGAATTTGATCTTTCTGTTTCATTCCTACTCATGGCATTGATGATTAACTCTTCACCTGCGAAAGAAATAAGGTTCGCCGGCGGGCAAGTGACTTCACGCGTTAAACTTAGCACCATCGAAATCTAGCCCAGATCTAGCCCAGGACTCGTCCTTCCGACCCTTAAAACGCTTTTTTCACTGTGATAGAGTATACATACATTTGTATGAAAATCTTTTGTTTATAGACAAGTTTATTGATATAATAATAAATAAATGACTCATGAGTATAAGCAAAATAATTGCCTCCATTGAGATTCGAACCCGCGACCGCTGGCACAGCAAATAGGGTCACTACAAACCGAGCCAAACGTGTCGTCAAACGTGACAAAAAGTATACATGTATAAACTTAAGAATAATATATTCTTACAGGCGTCAATGAAAATTGTGTCGTAAACGAAGACTGCCAATTTCCTGGAGGAGTTTGCAACATCAACGACTTTAGATGCATTGAGAGTAAGTTATAATTTTGGCGTCATTTCAGTACATTTTTTGTGTAAGGTCCTTAAAATTAATAACACTTCACATGTTTTCAGATACTACAAATAGCGATTTTAAATATATCGAAGAAAGTAACAGTATTGAAAAATCTACAATAGGAATAGACGAAGAAACAGAAAAATATAGTATAGCATCGAGCAACATGATGTTTACGGTACAACGTGATGTTTGCAATTCCACCGTCTTCTGTCCCAGTCCATTTGAATGCTCTATATTTGGAGTTTGCACCTGTCCTTTAGGATATTATCAAAGTGCAGATGGGGAAACATGCCTGGCAGGTTAGTTTTTAATATACATGCTAATTCTAAATTTTCCTTAAAAAGCAAAGATTTCTAATTGGTGTTCACTGTTTAACGCCCCACTGCTGCCAACCAGCAGGGCGTGGGCCTCCCTTCGATACAAGGAGGATCTGGCCATCTGGCCGACTGTACATGTATTTCGAAAACTTGCTAGGCTCTCTCAGACATGCAATTTCCCTCACGATGTTTTCCTTCACCGTAAGATAAGTGGTTATCATGTTGGAAATGATTCGCACATGAAAATATCAGAGGTGCGAGACCCGGGATTTGAACCTGCTTCACTTGGTTTCCCAAGCGAGCGCGTTACCACTGGGCTACCACTGCCTTAGCAATTGGTAACGCCTTCAATTACAAAATCCTTATGAATATGGTAAATGAAAACATAGCGAGAACACCTTCAGGTCTAAGAGAACCTCACTAGTTTCCTAAAGTTGTATGCAGTCATTTTAAAGTCTTGGCATTTTACTAAATATTTCATTGTTATTGACCATATTAAGAGATGGTTTTACAAAATCCAAAAATTGTTTGACATTATAGTTGCTATAAATTGAATGTTTCCAGAACTCGGATCTTCTTCAACCACAGCACAATGTGTGGGTTTTATGGCAGAAGTCTTCGATGGTGTTTGCGCTTGTCGGCCCAATTTCTTCTATGAAGAGAACATGCGAGATTGTGTGCGAGGTAAGATTTAATATATAAAGTGAATACATTTGTCTTCACCAGTTAATTTACAGATAAGTTAAACAGCTGAATAGGATTTGATAAAGCTTGGTATGAGGATTGATAGGATCTTTGGAAAAAATAAATATTATTTTACTAAATAATTCTTTCTTTTCAAATCCATGAAGAAGGTATTTTTTATTGAAACTTATATAAGATCTTGAGCTATAACATGACGTATTTATTACACAAAGTATCATGAGTCTGGTTTCAGAACTGGTGAAAGTATCTAGCATTATATTATGTATCCCTCAAATCTATCCCACGGGAACCGTATATTTTCTCAGGATATAGAGTAGCCTTTGTGTTATTCTGATGCATGAGCTCTATTGTAAAGTTTCATTAAAATCCATTCAGCAGTTTTTGCGAGAAAGAGTAACAAACCTCCATACATCTATACACCCAGCCATCCTCACAAACTTTCACATTTATAATATTAGTAATGCAGTTTCCATCACTGAAAGGTGGGATTTCGATCAATAAATTCTGCGAAATCGATCAATTTAAGTAACTTCGTTCAATGACATAACTTTTAAGTAATTTTATAATATTTTAACAATTTCAGTGACACGTAGAATTGAGGAATCTTGTGTTTCCGATTCGAACTGCCATACTTTCGGTGCAGCTGCACGGTGTGGTCCTCCGCAAGACCCATGGGGTTTCAGATCCTGTGAATGCATACCAGAGCTTGCTGTATGGGACAGCCAAAGGAGTATGTGTAGATACTTCGCTGGTATGTTGCTCCTATAAACTATTTAAGGTGGTTTTTTCGCGGGTTTATTATGATTTTTGGTTTCCAATCAAAATAAATTCGCAAAAAATTCGAGAATATAGTATTTATTTAAAATGTCAATCATTTGCGTAAATCTAAGAAAGTGTTTTTAACCCTAAAAATATTTCTAAAGAAGCTAAAAATGCGATATTACTTAGAGTACAATGAAAATTTCGTTATTTTCATGAATTATTGCAATTTTTAAATTAATGTTTGTGGCAATGTTAATTGATAGTAAATATTTTTTTACTTTTCCAAAATTTAAAGTCCAAAATCAAACAAATGTGGTGGGATTGAACATTTGTTTTTCATTGATGATTGTTTTAATAACTAGCGACTCACCCTCGCTTCGCTCGGGTTCGTTCCCAGGTATGTTTTAACGGTTAGTATGAAATAGATAAACTATATATTATATGATATATTATAGCCTGTAGCCTTCCTCAATAAACAGGCTATCTAATGCACAAAGAATTTTTAAATCGGATTTGTAGTCCTTGAGATTAGCGCGTTCAAACAAACAAACTCTGCCTCTTTATAATATTAGTATGATATCCCATTTATATTAGAATGGCTACTCATTGGTAACTTCTTCTTCTCCCTATCCATTTCCCAATCACTTGGGGTCGGCGCAGTACATCTTCTGTACTGCTGATATGATTTGGCAAAAGTTTTACAAACCGGCTGCCTGCCTGACGTCAACCCTCCTTGGGAATTGCTACTCATTGGTAACACGTTCACTTAAATATATCAAAGTGAAGCGGGTTCAAACCCGAATCTTGTAAATTTAACATAATCATTTCCAACATGATTGCCAATTATCCTTACGGTGAAGGTAAACATCGTTTTCGAAAGACATGCTCTGTCCGGCCGCACTTGGCTATGTCTGATACGCCTCGCACTAAAACGAGTCAACAGTGAGACGTTAAGGGGGCTGAATTAAATAAATATGTTCGGACATTAACACACAGCACCATCAGACTAGTTCCATGGTAAGCTACGAGGCTTGTATTATGAATACCGGATAGTTGATACACTACACACATATAACTTTATATACATACATATTATAAATATAAACACCGATGAATGCCCTCAGCGGGACTCGAACACGTGACCGCTGGTACAGCAAGTAAGGTTACTAACTATTATAGTTAAATATCACATATTACAGGTATCGGTGAAACTTGCGAAGTGGACAGCGATTGCTTAGCAGGCGAATTAGAAATTCAGTGTGTTAAGAATGAAGCTGGTCAAGGATACTGCGCATGTCCTGATGGACTGCGAGAGTTTGAAGGACTATGCTTGTCCTCAGACTTAGGTTAGTATATGGTATATTATTAACTGCCTCGTTGGTCTATTCTAGTGGCTCAAATATACCACTGCAGATGGAAAGGTCCTAGCTTTGAGTCCGACCTAAATAGTTATTATTGTTTTCTATCACGTATCATCCAGTAGAAGTCCGGAGTTGGAAATTGGTTTTTAAACCCCCAAAACAGAGTTAAGCTGTCGTTACTACAACCAATCTCTGACCGTTTTTGTGGAATTATCGCATACTTGTGCAGTATAATATCTCCAGCAGTTGACTAGTCTCAAATGACATTGGCCGCCGTGGCCGGAATTGGTCGGGAGGACATATATATTAGTACCTGGGATACCGAGCTTCGCTCGGAGTTTTTTACCTAAAGTATAATTCAAAAAAAACCTAAAATCTTGAATTAATATAAAAAAAAGTAATAACTTTGTAAGCGACCGAGATTCGAGTCTAAACACCTGTAATTGTTGATCTTGCACCTTAGTCGTTTGACCACGATGCCTATGTCGGTGCGTGCAAATTACCGACCATATTTTGCGTGGAATAATGCAAAAGAAAACTGCATAAAAACTCGAAAACACGCGTTTTCTCATACATAAGACTAATTTAGATCGATTTATCGCCCCCGAAACTCCCTGGGTGCAAAATTTCATGAAAATCGTTGGAGCCATTTCCGAGATTCAGATTATATATACAAAAATTGCCCGTTTAAATATATAAGATATTATTATATGTAATATTAGCTTAACACAATATTTCTTTATTATTTCAGTACTAGGAGATTCTTGCCAGCACTCTCTGGAATGTACCGGAACTGCCAACACTGTGTGTGATGGCGTATGTACTTGTAGTGATGGTTATCAGGATGTTGATGGTAGCTGTGCTCCGGGTACGTTAAAATATGAACATACATATTAATTTTAAGGGCGTTGGGAGTCTCTCCCGTGACCATGATTGCTGTAAAGCATTCTAAACGTCGGGTACCAAAAATTAAAATTAATCCTCGAAAAAATTGGAAAATATAGTTTTATTTAAAGGGTAAGATATAGGTTTCTTCCCCATACAAACTTATATCCACATTTTCACCTCTTTGAGATGATTTCTGAAATAAAAAATATCCTATATCCTTTTCAGGGTCTCAAACTATCTTCTTACCAAATTTCATCTAAATCGGTTCATCTATCTAAATAAAATCAATCTAAATAAAACAAAAAATCTGTCCTCTTTATAATATTAGTATAGATGTCAAATATTCTTATTTTTATTTTATTTTATTTTATTTTAATTAGGATCTCCAACAAAAGATACACACAATATACAACATTATATAAAAACAAAAAGCAAATAAGACTCACAACACGTGTGCTCCTTCACTTATAGGAGATCACAACTTGCTCATTAATATATTTTACGTTATAACTAAGTTTAAACTAAGAAAAAATTAACGTCTAGAAACAAATCTGAAACTATATATAGAGACACAAAAAAAAAGAAACAAATCATATTACAACATATTTAAACATTTCTACTAAAGTTACGATAAGAATTTAGTAAGACTACTTTTGAATTGAAACATATTAGTGGAAAAGATATCTAATTCAACATGTTGTTTAGAAAGCGTATTGTACTGTCGACAGATCCTTGGAATAGCGGCGTGATATCTCAAATTTGTTTTGCACAGTGGAGTATAAAACAAACTATATGTATTTTTCCGAGGCAAACGAGAGGGTACGTTAAATTTTAGAAGCTGTAGTAATTCACTACAATCAATTTTCGAATGGGTTATTTTATAGAGTGTTATAATATCTGTTATTTTTCTACGACAAACGAGCGAAGTCATCTTGTAATATTTAAGTCTATTGTGATAGTTAGGGAGATTTTTAGCCGTAGTATCACTGTAAGAAAGATGATAGAGGAAACGTTTTTGTACACTTTCTAACCTTTTGGTGTAAAAGTCATAATGTGGGTTCCAGATGATGCTATTGTATTCCAAGATAGGACGGACGAGTGTATTAAATAATTTGATTTTAGTGGACGCCATCTTAAACTCTTTACTATTTCTTAGTACGAATCCCAACATCTTAAAACCCTTGGATACAATATTTAAGATATGGGTATTGTATCGCAAACTAGCATCTAATGTAATTCCAAGGTCCTTAACAGTATCTACCTGGGAAAGCTGATGTGAGTTGATATAGTATTTGTTTGGGTTAGCGATTTTATTGCGAGTGAATTGAATGTAATGGCATTTAGACGTGTTGAGTGACATCTTATTTTCGACGCACCAGCTTATCAGTCTGTTAACATCATCTTGTAGTTTAGTCACATCATCGTTATTTTTAATAGGTTTAATTATTTTTAGGTCGTCTGCGAATAAGTAGAATTTTGAGTGATGAAAGCACTTTGTTATGTCATTAATAAAAACATTGAAGAGTAATGGACCAAGGTGAGAACCTTGCGGTACGCCGGATGGCGCCGAGCAGGTATACGAGCTGTGACCACTAATAACTACTTTGAAGGACCTACTTTGTAGGTATGATTGAAACCAAGACAACAGAGTACCACTAATACCGAATTGTGAGAGTTTTTCCAATAAAATTATGTGATCTACTTTGTCAAATGCTTTACTAAAGTCTGTATAGATTGCGTCGACTGGAACTCTATTGTCAATGTGTTCAGACAGCGTCGAAGTAAAGCTTAACAGATTACTAGTTGTTGATCTTGATTGTAGGAAGCCGTGCTGATGACAAGAAATTTGTTGCTTAAGATCCCGAGATAATCGCTCGTTTATCATTTTTTCGAGAACTTTACCCAGTGTTGGAAGTAGAGAAATTGGTCTGTAATTAGAGACAAGGTTTTTACTGCCGTTTTTATAAATCGGAACTATCAAAGCTTCTTTCCACAAGTCCGGAAAGATCCCGTCCCTTAGAGAGCGATTGAAAATCGCATTTACGGGTGAAGCTAGGGCTTTTGCACATCTTTTTATAAAAATCGGAGGAATTCCATCACTACCAGCGCCCTTTCTTTCATCTAGAGATTTTAATGCATTGTATACTTCTGCAGTATTAAGAGATAAGTTGCAAATGGAACCAAAATTAGGTGTAACGTCTTTGATTTTTGACGAACATTTTGTAACCTGATTAGCGTCATGATAGACCTGCGCAAAGTTTTTTGCAAACAAATTACAAATATCGGTACCAGTTGATGCTACTGTATCGTCGAGTTGCACTTGGGAAGGATATGCGCAATTACCCTTTCTTTTCATTTTCATTAAGGACCAGAACAGTTTAGGGTTTTTAAAGATCGAGTATTCAAGCATTTTAATATATGTATTATAACATACAGTAGATATCTTACGACAATCGTATCGAAGTTTTTTCGAATAGAACTATATCTAAGGGATTGTTAAACTTTTTAATTTTTTTATGAAGTTTAAATTTGTCTTTTAGGAGTCGAATAAGACAATGAGAGTACCAGGGAGGGTATTTATTGTTGCCGTTATTCTTCTTCAAAGGAACACATTCTTTTATGATATCTCTTATTAATTTGTAAAAACGGTCTAACATATGGTTAATTGATAAACAGTCTTTAAATTCCTGGTCCCAATTAATTAAATTAATTAACTTTACGATATTTTCGTAGTCAGCTCTGAAAAAGTCACGTCTAGTAGAGATTTTAGTTTGTAGGTGGTAAGGTACTTTTAAGTGTGAACAAAATTCTAGAGCAGGATGTAAAGGATCTTCTATGATTAACGGTGTGGTACACCGCATTAGATTCTGAACAGGAATATTACTAATAATCAGATCGAGCACTTTACCTTTACTATTTAGTATATCATTATATTGGATAAAGTCATTTATAAAAATAAATTCTAGTAAAGTCGCACTTACTTCAGAATGGTTTGATATGGTTTCTGTATTGGTGTCAGTCGACCATTTTATGTTGTTCAAGTTAAAGTCTCCAATTATGATTGTGTGTTTGTTCGATTCAGCAGCTTTTTGAGCAAATTTAATAAACGACTCTAATAGATCAGTATTAAGCGGAGGTGGCAGATAAACTGCACCAATGTTTAGTTGCTCAGTTGTTCCTTCGGAGTTGTTGACATTAATACTCACCCAGAGATCCTCGCAGGTACCTTCGTAATGTGGCAGTCTTATTGGTTTTAAATGTTTTAATATGGCAATAAGTACCCCGCCTCCCCTTGTACGTGTTTTATAGCGACTAGTTTCGCGATCCCGTCTGAAAACTATATATCTATCATCGAACAGTTCAGAATTATAAATGTCACCACTAAGCCAAGTTTCTGTAAGTACAATAATATCGTAGTTTTCCAGAGATATATTAAAGAATAAATCAACAGTTTTAGTTCTTAATCCGCGTACATTCTGGTAATAAAATTTAAGATTATTGAATTTTTAGAAATAATACAATAATAACAAGCAATATATACAAGACAACAAAAAATTACTTAACAGATTTCAGCATATCTGTACTGTTAATGACCAAGCTCTGCGTAGTGTCGTCCTTTCTCATAAAAACCCTGCCGTTACGTATCCAAACGTATTTAAACCCTAACTCTTTGGCACGTACCCTTGTGGCTGCATGTATTGCTTTATTAGCAGCGGAGAGATGTTCCGTTACGTATATTGGCTGCGGCTTATCTGTTGCAATACCAAGATGGCTCGAGTTCAGTTTATTGTTTGTATTTGCTCTGTTGAATTTCATTACCGCGGCTAGGCAACTATCTCGAAGACGAGGAGTATTGAATTTAACAATGATCGAACGCGGCCGTTTGCTTGCTGCATCTAACTTTGCTATTCTTGAACAGTACACGACATCACCATCATTAATTTCATGGTTTGTAATTCTCCCTAATTGTGTAATTAAGCTAATTAAGTTTTCAGAGCGGTTTTCCGGTACATTTTGCAATTCAATGTTACAGGATCTTGAGGTTTGCTCCATAATATTTAAACGTTTTGTTAGATCTTCAATTGAAGTCTGCATACTGCTATTTACTTTTTCGAGTTCTTGTATTTTTACTGATTTTTCTAATAAAGACGACTTCATAGTTTCGAATTGATCATTGAAAAATGAGAGAGATTACTGAAAGCTAGATAATAAATCATTCATTCCTTTAAGTTGATCAGCTAAGGCTTCATGAACAGCATTTTTTATTTCATGTCTGATTAATTCCTTTAAGTCGGCTCTAGATATCTCAAAAATATTTTCGTCACTCGATAAAGCTTGAGTACTATTAGTACAGCGTTTGTTACGCAGTGTTACGTTGGTGCAAGACGGAGAGCTCGTATTGTGAGAGAGTGTAATGTCCGATTGAGGCGGACGTAAAGGAGTATTAGTATTGTTACCTTTAGGTATTTTATTCATGCAATCTGGACATTTCCAAGCATTTTTCTGCTCAGTACTCAAAGCTCTCGAATGACCGTCATTAATATTAGCACATAGTGTATCGTAATTTTTGTGGCATTTTGAACACTTCAAACTATCCTTAATTTTTAAAGCATTAAAGCAGCCTGCACAAGTTTTAGTAGACATTGTTTTCGATAAATTATATATAAATAATTTTCAATAATTCTGACTTGAAGATGTCAAGATAGATGATATTCCAAAAAATAATAAAAAATAATTAAATCTAAGAAAGTATTGATACGACTTATTTATGGAATTTTTTAGGAACTAATGATGTTTTGTTTTTAACTCATTGCATGATTTGATAACCTGTAAGAAGTAGATTTATCTATGTTTTGTAAATGGAATTAATTAGCCCCGATAAAAAATAGGGGTGTTATAAGTTTAACATGAGTATCTGTGTGTCTGTGGTATCGCAGCGCCCAAACGGATGAACCGATTTTAATTTAGTTATCACGAATGTGTTAATGTCGCTTTTATTTAATAAATTAAATCAAAACATATCATAAAATTCTAACTGAGTAGAATCTGTACCTTAAATATTTTTTGGAAAATCTTATTAAAATAGCCATTATTATCAATACAGAGGCCGAATCTATAGTTTTTAGAATTTTGGTTTGTCTATCTGTCTGTCTGAGAACGCATCACGAGAAACACCTCTAAACAGATTTTAATAAAATTGGGTATGATGATAGCTGGTTATCCGGGTCAACATTTAGGTTACTTTTAATTGCAGAAAAATATCTCATTTCTGTAAAATCTATACTAACCGATAAAACGTACCTACGAAACGTACCGCTTGTAAAGAAATAAATTAAGAGTAAAAAAAATCATGTAAGAAATCATGTATGAAAGCAGAAAAAATGTGTTTGTCGCAAAAAACTTGGTAGTTCACTAATTTCATTTGTTGTTACGGACCTAATTACGATTGTGAGACCAAAACACAGTTTTTTTTTATTATTATAATAAAATTAAATACTTTTTTCAGCAATTGGTGGTGCGTGCGCGCAACACTCAGATTGTGTTATAGAGAACACTGTGTGTAGAAACAGCTTGAGAGGATTCACTTGTCAATGTGATGATGAATTTGTGGAATCTAATAGTCTTTGTTGGCCAAGTAAGTCTTTTAAACATATTCATTTTAAGTTCTGGGAACGCATCACGAGAAACCACTGGACAGATTTTGATGAAATTGTATATGATAATAGGTGGTTATCCGAATCAACATTTATAATACTTTTTACTGCGGGGAAGTATCTCATCTCTGAGAAATCTATACTAACCAATAAAACGTACCAAGGGACGAACCCGAGCGCAGCGAGGGCGAGTCGCTAGTTTATAATATTTACGAGTAGTGATGGTAAATTAATCATTATTGACAATATTTTAATTATTTTTAGGTATTTATTATAATTGTTGTCAATTTCAGGCGTTTCTGGTTTCAATTCGACGTGCTCAGTAAATGCTCAGTGTGTGGCTGCTTTAGGAAGTTCCAGCTCGTGTGTTGAAGGAGTTTGTTCTTGCGCTGAAAATAATCACTATAGAGATGGCGGATGCTGGGCGATTACTGGTAAAACTTTCATGTATTGGCATATGGGTATTTTATGTATATGGATGGCCATACAACAATAAATTATTTTTTTCTATTACAGGTATCTTTGAATCTTGCTCAAGAACCAGCCAGTGCTTCTTAGCTGATGATTCTTCTAGAGTGGTCTGCAGGAACAGCATTTGCCAATGCGACTTTCAATATCCATATTCTGAAGAAACGAGAACTTGTTGTGAGTATAACATACTTCACGTTTCACGTGTTTTCCCTCCCTGTTCACGTTTAGATTTAGATAATTAATCAAATATACCTTTATAAGTACTTTCAAATAACTTAGTTTAAAAGTGTTGTCAGTTTAGGCTTTTACTAGCACTATTGAGTTAGTTAAATTTAAGATTTAGTTTAGTCAGTCAGTGAGGACTCGCCAGCTCAGAAAGTAGTTTTGCTTAGTTCTCAGAGAAAATTGTTTGTCGCACTTTCAAATGTCTTCTATTGATAATGGATATGGAGATAATATAAATATGTCAATTCATTTCTTTAGTTTCGTGGCTTCTAAGAGTGCATTTTGATATAATTTACTTCGCCTACGGCACATTATCCACGAATCAAGTAACTAATATATTTTTTTTTCAGTATACTCATCAGCAAGTCGCATCACTATCTACATAACCTTATTGATATTCCCAGCACTATTAATCATACTAAGATAAACTTTTAGTTTTATATATTTATTAAATTATTTATATTAAAAGTTATTATTTAAGCAAATGTGTTTTGTTTTTCTATAAATTAATTACAATCTGTGGTTAATCTACAGTTAAGTCCACTTGCTGGAAAGATTATTCAAAAAGGTCCCCTTTGAAATCCAAATGGGAAATAGAGTATTATATGGTGATGTGATGTTCTCCTAGCCGATTCCGGCCACGGCGGCCAATCTCATTGAGACTAGCTAACTGTGCAGGAGATATTATAGTACACAAGTGTACGCGCAGACACCAGTGCACTCTCTGTCCCTGTCACTCTCATACTCCGGTGGGACGACACGACCAGTGAGAGTTAAGGCGCAGGACCGACGGCTTTACGTGCTCTCCGAGATACGGGGGTAAAACACCGCCAACTTCCCAACTCCGAGCCCGGACTGTATAGTAAGTCTCAGTAACAGCCGTTACTGAGACTTACTATACAGAAGACTCAATAACTAAACTTGGCCCGATCCGGGACTCGAACCCAGGACCTCCGGGTGTGCAGCCGTACATGCTAGCCACTACACCACCGAGGCAGTTATACATAGTTATTAATTAAGTTATTAACAGTTTCACTTTAATTCTCATATTTCAGTATATATATGTATTAATTAAAGCGAGGGTAAGTCGTTAGTATAATATAATTATTTTAAAATCACGGACAGTCTTTAGTATTTTTCAATAAAGCTTGAATTGCTATATGAAATGTACCATATAATTTCTTCGAACATTAAAAATTAATTAACTATTTTGCCAGTACTTATGGATTTAATCTATATTAATATATTAAAGAGTTTGTTTGTTTGAACAAACTAAGATCTGGAACTGCTAGCTAGATTTGAAAAAAACTTTTTGCATTTTATAAACGTTTAGTATAGATTTCTCAAAGATGAGATATTTTCCCGCAGCTATCACCATACCAAATTTCATCAAAATCCGTCTAGTGCTTTTTTCATGATGCGGTCACAGACAGACAGACAAAAATTCTAAAAACTATAGATTCGGTCTCTGTGTCGATAATAATGTCTATTTCAATAAGATTTTCCAAAAATAATTTAATGTACATATTCGGCTTAGTTACAATTTTATTACCTATATGTAAAGATTAATCGAAGAAGCTATTTAAAATCATACGACGACCCTTAGGAGTGGAGCTAATATACATAAAAAAGCTATGTTAATAATAATGCCCCTCTGACTGATTTCGGCCACGACGGTCAATCTGACTGAGACTAGCCAGATGCGCAGGAGATATTATAGTGCACAAGTGTACGCGTAGATTGTTATTAAAAATTTATTTTAAAATATATCCGAAAATAACATTAAAAATTTAAGTAATAGTATAAAAAATGTTTAAAAACGAGAGACAATAGCATTCAAGGAGTACAGAAGATGTACTGCGCCGACCTCAAGTCATTGGGAAATGGGCAGGGAGAAGAAGAAGAAGTGTACGCGTAGACACAACGTGCACTCTCTATTCCTGTCATTTCACTCCCGATGGGACGATAATTCAACACGACCAGTGAGAGATGAGGCGCAGGAACGACAATTTTAAGTGCTCTCTAAGGCACGGGAGTGAAACACCGCCAACTTCCCAACTCCGGACTGCTATTGAGCATTTCGTGGCAGAAAATCTCAATAACTGAACTAGTCTTGACTCGGGGCTCGAACCCAAGGCTTCCGGACGTATACTACGTACTAGATAGATCATCGAGAATCCCGAGGGATAAAACAAATATCACTAGAGATGTAAAGCAAGGCATTTTTCGAGTATACCATATGCAAATAATAGTAATTTGCAAAGATTTTAACGACAAATAAAAAACTGAAAAGGACATTGGAACCCGTCATTAAAAGTATATTAAACAGTTTCATTGTTTTTCCTATCAATATTTTAGTATTGTAGTTTAGTGGAAACAAATTATATTATACTAGCGACTCACCCTCGCTTCGCTTGAGTTCTTCCCTAAGTACGTTTTAACGGTTAGTATGGAAGACTATCCAATATCCATACTAATATTATAAATGTGAAAGTGTGTTTGTTTGTTCTTCTTTTACGTCGAAATAGAGTTACAGATTAGTATTATTTTTTGTGTGGAGATAGTTGGAGGGCTGGAGAGTTACATAGGCTACTTTTTACCGCGGAAGATTATCTCATTTCAATGGAAAATACGTTATAATACAACCCACAACAATTCATCATTCTTATGTGTATAATGTATATATTAGTCTATCGATTCCATATTGACTGTTAAAACGTACCCGAGCGAAGCGAGGGTGAGCCGCTAGTGATATTATATAATTTTTTTTTCCAATTTAAGTTGGAGGCATTGTTGTAGATGGTAGGTCCGCCACTATATTGAATGTAATTCGAAGTACATATTGATTCCCATACAAGATAAACGGTTCTGGACTTTTCGTTTTTCTAGCTGTTCTTATGGGTTTTCCCTATTTTTTTATACCAAAACCACCCCTGACACACTCCCAACAAAACAAAAAAACTGACATACATACATACATTATGCACTTGTTTTAGAATAGCTCTGTGTGTGTGTATGTCTCCGGCTGCATAATACTATGTTCCTTCGATAATTTGTTCTCTTCTTTTTAATTCACTTTTAACACAGTCGGGTTATTTTTGTTTTTTTTATAAATATTTTTTATTAAAAAGTATCTACTGCTGTTCTTTCAAAGTATAATGACTACTTTCTAAACTAAAAAGATCCACCATCATCATTCAAAATTAGATTAAAGATATTTGATATTATAATAATAAATATGTTGAGACATTACCACACAGCACCATCTAGTTCCATGGTAAGCTACGAGGCTTGTGTTATGGATACCAGATAGTTGATACACTACACAAATATAACTTTAAATACATACATATTATAAATATAAAGACCCATGACTGGAGTACAAACTTCGTGCTCATCACACAAATGGATGCCCTTAGCGGGACTCGAACTCGCGACCACTGGCACAGCAATTAGGGTCACTACAAACTGAGCCAAACGTGTCGTCGAAATATCCTTACATTCCTTATCTTTTCCCTTCCTTATAATAAATACTTGTTTAATCACGTTCAAATACAGACAAAGTCGCAACCAGAAGTTGTATTCAGTTACAAAAAATTAAAACCTTTTTTAAAATAATAATATACACACCCTTATAACATTAATAGAGTACTTTGACATTACCGAAATTCTTTTTTAAATTAACATCAAAGAGCACACGCATAGGCTAACATTTAAACGGCCGATTAAAAAAATGGTCAAGTGCGAGTCGAATTTGCACACGAAGGGTTTCCTACCATCATACATGTAATTATTTTTATTAATATGACTTTTACTCTATGTATGTAGTACTAGCGCTCACCCTCGCTCCACTCGGGTTCGTCCCTAGTTACGTTTTAACATTTAGTATAGATTTCTCAGAGATGAGATATTATATAAGTATCCTATATATTATTGACCCGGAAAACCAGCTATCATCATACCAAACATCAAAATCTATCCAGTGGTTTTCTCGTGAATCGTGATGCGATCACAGACAGACAGACACAAATTCTAAAAACTACACATTTTTTTTCCAATAAATATTTAATCTATAGATTTACTTCGATGATCGATTATGAACGTTAAAAAATGTTTCTTGTCTATTTTTTTATTATTTGTTGTTAAATCTGTAAAAATTTCAACTTTTTTCTTTCAATAAGTTACAGGCCACTGACAGACGGACGGACGGACAGCGGAGGCTTAGTCATAGGGTTCCTTTGGCACCCTTCTTGTACGGAACCCTAAAAATAAACATACTAACACCATTCATTTAAAAAGAAAACAAAATACAAAATAATATTACTTAATTTAAGCGCTATGCTAAACGAATAAGGTCCATTTTATATATATTTTTGTGGGAGATATATTTTTTAATATGTCCGTGTAAAATATCGTGTTAGGGCAGAGGTCAAGACAGGCCTTAAAAGAAATTTACTCGAGCATAATCGATACTGGTTTTGTAGTAAAGGTATCTTTTTTAGTATATTGAGAAGTATATCGTATTACAATATACATTAAGTTCTCTAGCAATTATATGACTTCGAATGGAAGGACCTGGATAGTGGGTTTTATTTTAAACTACTCACTCTTGCTTCGTTCAAGTTCGTCGTTAGGTGATTTTTTTAATTGACATAACTATTTCGTTTATGAACCGATTAAATTAATACTAATATAATAACAAATACTAAACGTTAAGTAAGGCTTACCACAATACATCAGTGAAAACCCCACCCAAAACAGTTAAGTCTGAGATTAGCGCGCACAAACGCACAGACAAACAGACAAAAAATCTAAAAATCATTGTTTTGGGTTCTATTGCGTCTTCATAACCTTTAGCACACAAACGTCCTTTTAAATTTTTTTCAATTTAGTTCTTCGTTTGAAGTATTGTTAAATATTGTTGACGGGCCATTCATTTTTGACTTGTCGCGTACATTTTTTGGGCACAAATGTTTATATTATAACCGTAACGTGATTGCTATTGTTAAGCCCATTAACATCCCACTGCTGAGGGTGGGCCTCCCTTCAATACTCGGGGGATCAGGCCATAGCCCACCACGCTGACCAAGTACAGGCACTCTTCATATTATGTCTTTTGAAAACTTGCTAGGTTCTCTTGGGCACACAGTTTTCCTCAGTATTTTTTCTTTCAACGTGAGAAGTAATTACCACAAAAGCGATTGAATACAAAAATATCTATTTTTAAAAACAGTGAGTCAGCAGTTTCTACGTAGAATACGTAAAAGAAAAATAACTCACGAAATACATATTTAATTCATTCTGCAAAAGACGTGGGGTGTCTAAAAATAAAACACCACTAACAGTATTCATTACTTATTGACCGACAGACGATGACGAAGGAAATGAGTACAATTTTCGCGTAACTTATACCTACTCGTAGTTACCTAGGGTTCAAATAAAAAATCACATTATATTGATTTGACGACACATTTGGCTCAGTTTGTAGTGACCCTACTTGCTGTGCCAGCGATCGCGAGTTCGAGTCCCGCTGGGGGAATTCATTTGTGTGATTAGTACGAATGTTTGCACTCCAGTCGTGGGTATTTATATTTATAATATGTAAGTATTTAAAGTTATATATGTGTATTGTCTCAACTATCTGGTATCCATAACACAGGCTTCATAGCTTACCATGAAACTGAATGAATTAAAGCAATAGAACCCAAAAAAATGATTTTAGAATTGTTGTCTGTTTGTGCGCGCTTAGCTCAGATACAGCTAAACCGATTTGGGTGCGATTTTCACTAATGTATTGTGTTAAGCTTCGCTTATAACATTTAGTTTCTGTTAAAATAAAAAAGTTATGTGAATTTAAAGAAATGCCTAGTGCCGAACCTGAGCGAAGGGAGGGTGAGTCGCTAGTTGTATAACAATTTTATGGGTACGCACTGTCTGTAACAAGTTACTATACCTTTGAAACGTCTAAAACCTTAGTCTCTCCCGTGACCATGTGCGCTGTAAAGCATTCGAAACGTCGGGAACCAAAAATCTAAATAAATCCGCAAAATAATCCGAAAAGATAGTTTTATTTAAAAAGGAAGTTTTTGTGGTTGGTTCTATTTTGCATAACTACGTCTAAATAAAAGTAGCCTAAGAATATATTTTAATTTGAAAACAGTTGAATTTCATTACAATTGTTTATTTAGAAATAGTGATTAAGGCTATCTATCTACGTATTTATATACTCTCATTAAAACAAAATAATTTAAGGCAATTTTTACTCAAAAGGCAATAGGTTAGTATAATAAGGTTTTATTTTAATGCTTATTATTTAAAAAAAAATTAAAAAAGTACCCTTGCCTGTCGGCTAAATAGAAATATTTAATCTATACATATACCTAATAAAATTCTAACTGAGTCGAATCTGTACATTAAATATTTTTTAGAAAATATTATTGAAATAGTCATTATTATCGATAAAGAGGCCGAATTTATAGTTTTTGTAAACAAACAAACACACTTAATATTGTAAGTGTGTTTGTTTATTTGTGTGCTTGTTTATTTATTTGTTTGTCCTTCTTTCACGTCGAAACAGAGTGATAGGTTGGCGTGATTTTTTTGTGATTTCATTCCCGCGGGAAAACACGTTATAATACAACCCACAACAACTCATCCCTATGTGTGTATATATAATATATAATGTGTCCATTCCATACTAACCGTTAAAACGTACGCTTGTTATATTATAAAATTAAAATTTTAATAAAAATTTTATTTCCGAGTATAGTAATAATTTGTAAACAAACAAACGGGCGTCCGTGACCTTGTAATTATGTCTACATATAAGAATTTTGCAACGTAGTTATGTTTGTACAGCATATTATTATAAATGCAAATGTATATGTAAGTTTACTTCTTCACGCTGGAATGGCTGAACAGATTTGGATGAGATTTAGTACACAGATAGAGTCTAGACTAAAGTAGCACATAGACTACTGATAAGGCTAAAAAGTAGCGCTACCTATACGTA